GTCATAACTATCATTTATAAATATTATAAAATTTTATAACATTTATAAGTATGACAAAAATGTTATAAATTTCTTCCATTTGTCCCTATAAATCTCCATTATTTTCCATCCTGCTCTCTTTGGCCAGGGAAACGGACTTATAGAGATTACTTTAAAGGGACTCCAATGCTCTCTGGTTCCCCTGGACTTAGCCAATGGAGAGCCTTGTCAAGGGATCAGGAGAAGGGAGGAGAATGAGAATGAGGTCTTTATTTCACTGGATCCCCCTTCCTGAAAGGTTACCTTGAACTAGTTATGTCCCTTAACCAAGATAAGTACTCACAATGTGGCTACCTTAATCAGAATCTTTTGCGTCTCGGTAACTGCTTCTTTGCCTTGTCCCTTTAAGCATAAGGGTAAGTTACTAGCTCTGGATTACTGTACTAACCTTTATAGTTTCCCTCACACACACTTTTGGAAAACTCTCCTTTTTTTTTTTTTTAAAGATTTTATTTATTTATTTGAGAGAGAGAGAATGAGAGAGAGAGAGCACACGAGACGGGGGAGGGTCAGAGGGAGAAGCAGACTCCCCGCCGAGCAGGGAGCCCGATGCGTTACTCGATCCTGGGACTCCAGGATCATGACCTGAGCCAAAGGCAGTCGCTTAACCAACTGAGCCACCCAGGCGCCCTGGAAAACTCTCTTCTTAAATTGTGTTTTGACTGTGCCATTTGTTTTCTATTGTGTCGATGACTGATAAAATAACCCACATAACTGCTATCATTGTTAGAGACCAAAAAGCTTTGCTTTAGAGGTCAAAGATTGGATTTTGAAATCTCTACCAGGAAAACTTATGCCCTGGTGGTTAACTCTGCCTTGCTACACAGACCTCTACAGCATATACCGACATCCCCTATTGAGTCTCAACAGGAAAACGGAACCAAAAGACTGAGTATGATTCACTGAGGAAACCATTCAGAAGGAAGTACCCCCCACAACCTGAACTCTATACAAAGGGACAAATGTCTTGAAGCACCAAAAATCTTCATTATAGCACTTACATACACTAGGAAATCAACCTAGAGAAATAATACCAAACCTACCTCATCAAATATAACATATCTGATCCTTTTCACCCATGTTTGGCGATGAGGAGCTAATAGCAGAATTTCAAAGCAGGCAGGCACTGTAATAAGTACCTAAAAATAACATTGTATAAACAAAGAGTTTGAGTACTTTACTATGTACAGACTTTGTTATAAGAATATGAAAGTTATAACTCCTAAATGTACCTGCTAATAATTATGATATAATATCACTTCTGAGAATATTTCATTAAAATTGTGATATATTAGGTTAAACCTTATGAAACTGTAATTCTTATGAGTCAAAATGGTAAAATATCAGATTTGAAGTTTAAATTCTTATTTATAAACATCCAAAGTAATACAAATAGAAAGAGTTAATCATCACAGGTTTATTTCTTCAATCTGAGGTAGTTTTGCTTAAAAAATGTCTATTTAGGATCAACAACTATGGATGTGGGGAGAAGCAGAATTGTGTTGAGGGAGAAGCTATATTTCAAAAGAGGCCTGATGAAACCTTGGCCAACCTGGCTTAGAATTCTGGAGTGAATACTGGCTCTCAGAGCTATTCCACAGCAGGCATTTATACCCCTGTGTTTATGTCCCAGCGTTTATATCCCTGCCTAGCTCAGCCACAGGACATGGACTGTGGAACTGACAGCTGGCATTTGTCTTGACCCCTCTCCCCACATCTGGGCAGCAAGTCCATCCTTGAAAGGCAATCTGGGTAACACATCTTCATGTCTGCTCTGCAATGTTCTAGAATCATCATTTCACTTTTTGTTCAGTCTTAATTATGTATTTATGAATTTGTTAAGGAGGAAAACTATCTATGGCTTACTTAGCATCAGGTATTCTATCAATAATACATTTTTAAAATTGTGATGAGTATCCTACTCATCAAGAAAAGTGACAGTATCTTAATTATCAAGAAAAAGTCATTCTGATTAGAAATTGGTGTTTGTTAATTTTTTATAGCATTGGGTTCTTCAGATCATTTTGAATCCATTTATAAACCAAAAGGATGCAATAAACTATTAGTGAAACCTGAAGTCAAACGTAAGTGTCCTTAGAGAAAGATGAGTGCTATTTCTCAACTCTTTGGAGTATTAACAATATTAAACTTTCTGTAAAGCCATTTCATCTTGTAAATTCAAAAAAATTATTTCTGTGAGGCTTTGTGAAGATGTTGAATTTCTACTGAAAGAGACATATATTAGTGCTATTATATAATTTGGTAACAAATGCATTAATTAATATATCCTACCTGACAGTTTAGGGCATCGTGACGATAGTCCCTTGTAAAAACACCACATAGAGCTTCACCATTTGGCAGACTTTTGGTAAAACGGTTCTGAACAGTTGCTGCCACTTGATTAACAAGGGCCTGATTGACAAGGGAAGAAATTCAATAATCACATAATAAAACACAGCTGAAACCTCAGAGAATGACAGAAACTGTCTAAAAATATGTACGGTTATAAGTGCAGAAAGCTTAACAGCCCCTTTCTTATACCCATCTACTCTAAATACACTAACATGCTCTCTTTGAGATATTTGACCTAAGTATGTGAACCTCATTGATAAACCTCAACTTAAAGTAAAATGGGGGAAAAAATGGCTTAATCAGAAGGAAAAAAAAAACAGGAAATGTTGCTCACATATCAGAAAAAAAATAGCTGAATACCTGGATGACCAAGGCTTAGAAAGAAGCTGTGAGTCTACTATAGAAGGAAGATCAAGTGAAGGATTATCAGATAGATTTGTGGTTCTTATATTTGGGGACTTCCTTCAGACATCTGGAGTTTGAATATATACATGAGTACTTTGGATCAGGTGGGTAGCCTGGCTAGTGGAATCTGAGTATAGGGAAATCTATGAACATCTATTTCACACTTTATGCACCCCCCCAAAAAAGATACATATAGATTAAAACATAAATTTTAAAACATAAGCATAAAGACACTAAAAAGTGAACACTTGCCCATATCTGAGCACACACATGGAAACACTAAATGAAAATACTGATAGACCTGAGTACACAAAGATATGAACAAAATATTATCGTTAATATGACCCAATATAGTAGTAAAAAGATAAAGTGACAAATAAAGGTATATTTGTTATGATATATAAAGAGTAATGTACTTAGTATACAAAACTCTGACAAATCAATGAAAAGACAATGCCACTACCCCCAAAGTAAAAGACAAATGGGCAAATGCATCCACAAGTAGTTCATGAATAAAAAAATGTCAGTGCCCAAAATCACATAAAGATACCCAAATGACTAGTGATCACAGAAAAGCAAATTTAAATATGAGATAGAAGTTTTCTCCTATCAGTATGGCAAAAACATTTTAAGTGATAATAGAAATGTTAGAGAAGATAAGAGAATATACACTGCCGTATCTTTTAAAAGAGTAATTTGGCAAAATCTACTGTGTTGTTACTAAAATTCCACTTCTGGCCAGGTTAATTTTTTTTATATATACTACTAATTTCCTGCAATGAGCACATATTAATGGCCATGAAAAACAAAAAAAGCTACAATAAAAAATAAAGTGCTCATTTCAATTAATCATACTGATCAATCTGGTTCTAAGGCTGACCACAAGTCACTAAACTTTTTCTAGAAGCTAAAATGGAGCCTGAATTCATTTTAATCTATAGAATTAAAGTTATCTCAACTCACTTTGCCTTTCCTAAGAGTAATCACATTACAAGCAAAGAGTTATGAGTGAGGATATGCAAACTTCTACTTTCTGTAAGTCAAACTTTCTCCTTAATGACAAAGATCACACTTTCTGTTTTTAAGTTCAACATTAAGCAGTAATAGACATAAAAAAAACATGGCAAAACAGCCTAGCTTGAGAAACAGGCCAGTCACGAATGCCCAGCAGCAGATCAGATAAATCCCATAAACTCTGCAAAAGCAGTATTAGATTCCTAAGTGACCAACATGGCTCAGCAAAGTGTGAATGCTTCTCTCAATGTAAGCATAATGCTGAATGACAAAATCACAAGACCAGGCTTTTTCCTCACAATGGTTCTCAGAAAAGTGTTATGTTGGCCTCTGAAACTGGAAGGAGAAAATACAGGTCACAAAATAAAGTGAAAGCTGTGGAAACAGAGAACAGATTGATGGGTGCCAGAGGTAGGGGTTGGAGGCAGTGGGTGAAATAGGTGAAGGTGGACAAAAGGTACAAACTTCCAGTTATAATATAAATAAGTAGTAGATATGTAATGTACAGCATGGCAACTATAGTTAACAATACTGCACTGCGTATTTGAAAGTTGCTAAGAGTATAGATCTTAAAAGTTCTCATCATAAGAAAAAAAGTTTGTAGCTATATGAGGTGATGGATGTTAGCTAAACTTATTATGGCAATAATTTCACAATATATACATATATCAAATTATGTGTGGTACACCTTAATTAATACAATGTTATTTGCCAGTTATAGATCAATAAAACTGGAAAATAAATAAATAATAAAATAGATTCACTTGCATGACTACATGTATTATTTTAAAAGAGGAGGTTTAGGAATGAAAGAGAAAGTTTGAGTCACTTGAGGGCTACCTTTGTTGGTGCAACATACACAACCACCCCTTCACTGCTCTCCTTCAGCACCTTCTCCATGCAATAGTAGGAAGCATAGGTTTTGCCTGAGGACGTTGGGGCGACAATCACTGCTGACTCATTATTATCCACAACATCAAGGAGCTCTCGCTGCAGGGTTCAGAGCACCATTTGAGTTAATAATATGAACAGCATGTTATCAAAACAAATCTATTAATACACTTCTAATATAATTTTCTTTTTTTTTTTTAAAAAAAAAAAATTTGAGAGAGAGAGAATTAGAGAGCGCACATGAGAGGGGGGAGGGTCAGAGGGAGAAGCAGACTCCCCGCCGAGCAGGGAGCCCGATGCGGGACTCGATCCA